TATTTTTACCTTAGTGTAGATGTATTTTTTTTTCTTTTTGCTATATGCAATTTTTTGGCTGGTTATGTCTGTGTGACCTTTCTGAGAAAACGTTTTTGTCTTTGTGTTTGWTGGTTTGTTAGTAATTTGCAATTTATAGAAAGTGGCATGTGTAAAACACTCAGTTTGTTGAAGAAGCATGAAGTGCCAAAACATTAAACAGAGATACAAGTTGGTGTTCTGTCTTATATTGCTCTAATCATATTGTTATTTATTATTATTATAATTATAATAGTAAATGCTTGATAAAGGCTGAGATAGTAGTATTTGGAGAAGTTCCCAAATTTGGCATTTTTGACTGACTAAGGGATACCATTCATCTGTATATCAGTGTATGTGTGTTTTTTCTTTTGTTAAAGTAAATTGAGCATGCAGCTTTTTTATTAGGGATTCCCCCCAGGATTGAGAAATTGTTTGCATAGACTATTGATAATTTATAAAACATATGAGTTTGAAAGGCTACATGGGAAGTGCAGTAGCCTAAGGGAAATGATATGAGGGGTATAGAATGGTGTCTCAGAATTCGCGAGGCTCAATAAAAATTTYCCAAGGCTCGCAACCTYGGTGTCTAAAAGAAAGGTGCCCGGATTTAAAATTGCTTATGGCTTGAAAGCTTGTAATTTCCGAAATATAGGACTTGTTCAGCCAAAAGCTCGGGCTCAGATTTTAAAACGAGGGGCTCGCAGGCTCATCAAGGCTCGGATTTTACCATTCGATACCCCTGATATGGTAATAGCACTTCACCTTGGGAAATGTCTGGAAGTTACAACTTAGGTATTTATATCTACTATTAATTGCAAAAATAGGACTTATTAATAAGCCACACCTACAAATATGTATCATACACCCTTTTGTCTCTGTATGTGATTTTATATATCCCACTGATTGTCCAATTGAGTGTTTTATGAAACAGATTGATTGATTGTTTAAAGAATGCATATGGTCAAACAAGAATTCAACCCTTCCCTATCAAGGTCAAGTTGTTGGACACATTAAAACATCATATATTCATTTAATGGTGTTGCTTTTTGTCCTATAGCAAGTGATTAGCTTGATGACAAAAGCATTCCAGAAAGATGTAGCTCTGATGATTAACAGGAAATTCTGTTTTAGATAGAAATCCAAAGTTTCTCAGACCTTGGACTAATAATGGTGTCAAAGTGGATATCAATGAAATTATTTTATTGGAGGAGTGATGCATTCTGAGTATGAACATATGATAAWAGTATGATAGTACAAATATTAATAAATATTTTTGCTTCTATAGAAATGATGTGTGCCCCACAGGCATCAAGTACTATCATAGACTCACCTGACTCGTTGTCAGAAGAGAACCAGCCAGAGGCAATCTCACCAGGGTACCCTGAGGTCTTTGATTACACTACCAGCACTTCAACACCATCATCATCATATTGTGCAGAGAAAAAACAAAAGAGAAAAAGTAAACGAAGTAATTTTGGATCATTGTCAAAGCTGTTTTCTAAAGGAAAGCAAAGGAAATCAACAAGACAGACATTTGAAGGTAGAAATAGAATATATTTTCAGAACTGGGATTACTAAAAAACAATGGAGTTTTGCTCTAAATCTTTTTGAATGCTCAACTTCAAATATCCCGGGATTGTCATTTTGGAAACTAAACATAAAAATAATTGATTTATTTCATTTCACTATAAATAAAAGCTTTGTAAGATTTCTCTCCTGGTTGCACATCTTATAGTTCATAAAGGGCGTAYCCAGGGGAAACAGGGTGCCCATCACCTCCCTTTCAAAGCCAGAAATCGAACCATKGGTACAGTGTTTGARGATTTGTTTCAAATTAGCTTAAGCAGTTAAGAAATTCAGTTTTCTGTCTTCTTGGGGCCATTTAATTTCAATTCAAATCAAAAACCATCCTTTGGGATTCCTGATGAAGGCATTCCATTTAAATGATTAATGGACATATATTTTGTTTTTGTTTCTGCACAACAATGTTATTTTTAATTAGAGTAATGTTTACATTTCTTTTCTCCTCTATCAACCACCATTCTTTTGCACGAAAACCATAGATTGATATGACATCATATTATTGACATCATATGACGTCAGAGTGACAATTTGGTTTGTAAGGACCCCCCCTCCCTCCCACCCAATTCAAATCCTTGATATGMCCCTGTTCGTGCGGCAAAGGGTAAAATGGTTTTGCAGATATAAATTACATAATCAGTGTTAGGAAGATATTCATGCTTTTAATAATGGTTTTTGTTAGATTACCACTCTGCTGATGAGCTGGACCAGTGCAGTCTTGGGACAACGTTTACCAGTAAACAGCACATTTATGACCTTTATAAAGACACACCCATGACGAGCTGGAAAGCCAATATGGTACTAGCATGGTTGGAAGTAGAATGTAAGATGCCAATGTACGTACAAATGTGTCAGGATAACATTAAAAGTGGGCGGGTCCTACTAGATCTCACTGATGATGAAATTGAGAKTGGATTAGGTATCACTAATGCAATGCACCGCAAAAAACTACGACTTGCTATTGAAGAATACAGAGATCCCTCAGCTAAGTAAGTCAAATTATATTAATGATAAATAAATTGATATATTTGCAATTGATGTATTATTCACAAAATAAAAAAAAATTGAGTGCATCAGACACTAAATTTATAAATGCAAGGTCTCATGTTGCTGAGATGTCACTCTCAGGAGAGTGTTTGTGTAATTAGGTGTATTGCGTTTCTATTTATTTATTAGATTAGTCAAAATTTTCATATCATCAAATAACACAATGATTTTCACTTTCTATTTTTGGTCCAGTAAATACCCCTGTATGTCACAAATTGACCACTTCTGGGTGGCACGGACATGGATGAGGGACCTGGGGCTGAGTCAATATGGTCCAGTGTTCGAGGCACAGATGATTGATGGCCGCATGCTGAATGTGTTGACCAAGAAAGACATGGAAAAATACCTTAATCTTAGCAAGAAATTTCACCAGGTATGCCATAGACCACTTTCTAAAGTGCCTACCATCAATTTTATACAATTTATAATATTATGGAAACATTCAAGACCTATTAGAAATAGGTAATCATGGAAAGTTTTAAAGCCATGGACTAAATACTAACAAAGTTATCAAGGAATGAAAATACAGGGATTTGTATGGAATTCTTTGCTAGTGACTGGGTAGCCTCGTTTTGGTGTTTTTCGTACCTCTTCTAACCCTTATAACTTCAAGAGGATTTAATATTTTTCTGTGAAAAGACTGCCACCGCGGTCCGTGGTGCCGCAGTGCTTGCTCGTTTTGGTGTTTTTCGTACCTCTTCTAACCCTTATAACTTCAAGAGGATTTAATATTTTTCTGTGAAATTTTCAGAGTTTATCTTTGATTTTGATATCTACCATTTGAGTGTTTTCATTTGTCAACATTATTGATAGAGCGATAATATGCTAATTAGTGTCAGACATTATGAGAGTCGTAAATGTTCAATATTATCTTACCCAATTCCACAACTAATAAAGATTTTGTGAATTTTTGAAAATATTGCAAAATTTATACTATATATGAGGACAGAACTACATGTACACTATGTATCAATGATCAGATAAAAATCATTCAACCTCAAATTCACAAAAAATTATACTCAGGAAATATGTTAGACTGATTCCATAAGTTGTTTAGTATTCACTCCTCCATTTTTCGGTGAGCGACAAAAAATATAGACAGAGAGGGAACTGGTACTGACTTATGCARTCAGTCTAGAAATATGTAGACACAAAGAACAAATTACAGTTTCCCAGARTTAGAATAATTCAAAGTGGATCAAAATATTGAGATGCAAAATGAACCASTTTTTTATAACTTTATTAGCAAATAGGTCAAAAAGGGACACATTTATTCTTTCAATGTTTGCAATACATTATGATAATGTTCACTTTTCTATGTTTTTAGTCTAGTATCCTTCATGGCATTGAGCTGCTCAGGATGATGGCTTTTGACAGGAAGGTAAATAGTTTGTTTTATCAGGACAATTTCTGCATCTATTTCATCTCAGTTATCCGAGTGTTCCCTTCTAAATGTTGTTTTTTGTCTGTTGTTTTGTGGTTAAAAATTGGTCTTGATAAAATCAAGCAAGAAGATGTRACTAATCTAACCATTTGCAGGCGGAGAAACAGCAGCATCATTATTTTTTATGATGCGACCTCTGCTGCGACCTCTGCCTTACAGAAAAACTTATGAGAATTAAACACAGTAACGACAATATACTAAACAAAAGATCAGAACTCATCTCTAAATGCCGACATGAAAACAAATTCTACCTGAAGAACACTTGACACCTCTACAGCCTATTGTATTCACACCTATGCAGTTTTAATTAATAGTATACTCTCCTTTGTAATTTTTACCTTCACACCTATTGTTTCTAGCATAACTATCACGTATTGTATGTAAATAGCCTAGCACTTATCCTTTTGTTCTATACCATGTATATATATCTAGATTATAGGAATGTTTATCATTAAATACTGTCTGATGAGTGCATAGCACGRAACTYGGAGTCACAGCAAAATCTTGCCTCTTTGATATCATATATATGATAGGGTATATGTAAATATATAAAATATGASCTGGAGACCTTTATGGGCATTTAAAACTGTGAGCTGCATGCAAGCAGTTTTATAGCCCATAAAGGTCGGACACGAATATTTTATGTATAGTTTAAAACACGATCTCGAGTGTTTTRAACGGCTTAAAAAACTCCAACACTAATTTGAAACTCAAATCCGTTAAAATTCTTGGARAATTTGCCGTACAAATATGTTCAGAGATAAATGGGGCAAACTGATCATGCGCGAATCACTTTACAAAGCACTCTTGTCATCCCACATTGAATACGCATAAAGTAAAATAGAACTGCTCTTGGCTGTTCACTGAAATCAGTTGACATCCTGCATWKGTCAATGATCAGGTTTCAAACCTGAGACCTTTGCTAGGGTCATGGACCTTATAAGGAGTGTTTTATCAGATATAAAGGTCCATGCATGTGACCAAATAGGCTCATTCTATTGGCCTAGTAGCTCATTAATTATGTATGAGTTTTTTAAATTGCTTATCAAATTCGAACATAAGGCAAAGCAGGATAAAATATCATTTGTAAGAGAAAATCGAAKTTAAAGTCGTATGCAAATCAGTCACRGCAATGATTTTCCATTGAGTTTTCCATTGATARGCATTCATAGCGATTCATAGCTGATACAAACGAAAGACAATTTCATATCTTGCAATGGATCAATTAACCATTTTGTTATTTGATTTGACATATTAACACTTTGGTATTTACTGCAGGTATTGATGGAACGTCGGTCAAAATGTGAAGACTTGTACACTGATCCACTGGTGTGGACAAATGATAAAATAACACAATGGTGTCGCTCTATTGATCTTGGGGTAAGCTAAATAATTTAAATGTAACATCAATGTTGTCAATAGTATTGTGGTTATTTTGTTGTCACATSTGTACATTTTGTACATTACACACTGTTACTGTTGTATTATATTTTTGTGACCTGATGATTCCAGTGTCCAGCAAAAGCTTGTCAAAACTTAATTGACTTTTCTTAAAAGGCTTTCCAGTAAGCTCCTGAACCCTTGCAAATTTTTAGGATGCAAATAATCCATTGTCATTTCAGACACTCTCTTTAATCAGTCAATAATTGTAAATCTTCTTGGTTAGTTTTAAACTATAAATTTCTGAATTTTAAGCTAAAATCATGACACCAGAATACAATATATTTTGCTATAGGAGTATGCAGAGAGTCTACGAGACAGTGGTGTGCATGGTGCTCTGATGGTCCTGGAACCAACATTTGGATCAGAGGAGATGGCTCAGGCACTTGGAATTCACTCTTCCAAGAATATCATTCGACGACACTTAACCAGTGAAATGACTGCTTTAATACTTACAGCAAGGTAAGTTGTGTTATTCATTTAGTCAATCGTTCATTCATACGATCATTTTGTACATAGTTAGTAACTAATTATGTTTTGTATACTTGTATCCTATCCACACTTGAGAACGACTGTTCAACCCAAGCTCCATCTCAGACAAAAAGCACTTGAAAACATGCGAAGTACAGTCATTAAAAGACAATGAATGATTAATGTGGTTATTTGTCTCAGGGCATCTCTGAACTTTCCAGTCCTTGATCAAAGCAAGGAGAAAAAGCAACGTCGACGCCGATCGTTTAGTTTTAGCACAAGACATCATAGTTCCTCCGACGACGTGAAACGACACAGTTTTAGGGTGAGTACAATAAGAACTGCTATTGTCCTTGTTTCCTATCGCTGCTAGAAACACTTGGGATTGTTGGGAGAACACTACAAAAGCCTTTTGAATTTGATTTTACCTCATGATTCTTGAAAACCTTTTATCGTGTTCTCCTAACCTGTTTCTAACAGAATACAAGCATGGTGCGGGTACAAGGTAGCGCACAACCGTTTCCCACTTCATTATGGTATATGTCAAAACGCTGTTCTGTTCCATGCAATCATAAAACGAGGCGTTGCTCAGTATACGTTTCTGTTTTGTTATTTAGTGTTTTGTTTTTGCTTTTGTGACAAACTATATGAACAAATCAGTACAAAAATTTCCAAATCATATATATTTTTGGATTTCGAAAGCGATATATTTACGCTAGTTTTGGGTGTTGTAAGAATTTTTGTGAGTGAGTGCCGGTATGGGATGTGGGATGCAAGCAGAAGCGCATACACTATCGATTTGTCTAAGTAAACCCTGCTAAAAGAGACAAAAGAGCACTCTGCTAGCAAAGGAAAAATATACTATTGCCTTCATATTTAAACTTCAATTAGGAGTAATAATCATCAAAACCTATAGTATGAATAAATATTTTGACTATAATCATAAACTATAAAATACATTATTTCTCATAACATTGAACTATTAACATGCTTTTGCGTAACGTGTTTATACTGCGTGTTTGTTTGTAAATTAAAAGCAATCATAATTTGTCCTCTCAGACAACTTATTCTTACGCCATTCCTACCTATCCATTCGTTATCCTATTCTATTTCTAGCTATTCTCAAGCAGTGAAACCTCTCTAATAAGGACACCGAAGAGCCAAAGTACTCTTGATTTGCATTGTATAAACATTCAGGGGCGCATCCAGGGGGGGGGGAATCACAGGGTGCTCGTGATCACCCCTTTCCAAGCCAAAAMAGCGTGAAAATCATAGATTTATATGACATCATATTGACGTCAAATGACGTCACAGTGACAATTTGGTATGTAAGGACCCCCCCCAATAAAAACCCTGGACACGTCCATGACCTTGCATATAAAGCTATAATATTTGCATTGGACATATAAACTTGATGGTGTCAAGAGATGTTCCACTGTATCTTTATTCCCTCTTTCTCTCTTTCTAATCTTTCATTTCTTACAGAAAATAAAACTTTCTTCTCGTCAAGATGAGTCTCAACAATAAGACAGGTACTYKCACCGAGATAACTGCAMTAAACTATACTCGCACTCGTGATGTCGGAGTCTAAACGCCGAAACCATAAAGTTTCAGTTGTTTTTGTTCAGTTTTCAAAAGATTTAAGATTGCACAATAATCACCCTTAAAACAAAGCTGATACGAAAAATTGAATCGAGATAAAAATAACATGTCGATCTAAATCAATAAAACGTATTACATTAAAAAATGACACAAAAATGACTGCCTTGTCGACTCGTTCCCAGACAGTCGGTGTTAACACTGACTGTCTGCTTTTAGCCTGCGTGGCGGCTCTAGGGGAGGGGGGAGGGCGAGAAAGGAAGGGGAGGGCTCCCCACCCCCTCCCCTTCCGTTCTCCACCTCCCCCCCTCCCCCTGAGACGTCACGCAGGCTAGTCTGCTTTATTTGCGACAAAGATACCGGATTTTGCGTACATWGTGCGATGATGCTGTCCACTTGGTAAGGTGGATAAACTGGATAAATAAACAAGTGTATTTTAATAATTAATTTTGCACTGCCAAACTCTTATAAACACGACAAATTGCACAAGTTTGTTGGTACTAGATTAGTGTGAGAATGGTCCTCTTCCATAATGACGTCATGCGATAATCGGYGAGATGCACTATGGGATTGAAGAAGTAATAGGTATTAACTACTCCAAAGGTGAAAGTACTAAAGCGACCTGAAGACCTGTTGCTGTGTTTCACACTTTTCTATGAACACAATTTCTCAAAGAAACTTCGTCTTCCATTATAAGAAACCTCCTATAAAAACAAAAATGACGTCTTAAGGAGAGAAGACCATTAACAGCACTTATTTACATCTCTTATTAAAGATTTGACATACCTTTTCATAAGTCCTTTCTCTGCGGAAATTTCTGTAATTTACTCTAAGAATATTTGTTGTTGTTTTTTTCAGATGTCATGGAATAACACAACCGGATCCCTCGACCGACAGATGAAAACAAAGAGTGAAAGCACGAGTAACGTTTTGCGAATCCAGCAAAACTCCAACACCTTACAAGTACCTGTTTTGATACGAACAGGGTCATTGAACCGACCCCTTCGACCAAGATCTTCCTTCCATTGAAACATCCTCAGGTCAAACAGTCTCGTGTCAACGCACTTATTCCGTGAAACAAAGCAGAAGTAATTACCACTATAAAATAGTATTGTTTACACAATAGATTGCAAACACTAAAAGGGTTCAACATTTATAACAAATATTATAATTCAACAACAAATTTTCTTCTGCTCTCATTTGTGGAGAGTCTACGACGTCTCGTGATAGTGTCCGCCACGGAGGGCTACTATCAGTGCAATATGCCCTYTATTCAACTCTATTGTTTAAATAGAGAACAATTTAATTAACGTTGCAAACTCTTAATGTTTGTGCTCTACAACAATTTGTTCTTCGCGGATTAAGGGTAGGGTGTGCGCTCTAAAAGAGCGTTTTTGAACTAATCTTGACAAAGTGCTTGTAATTGATCCTTGTCTGGCCTCGYGCTTWATGAACTATTTCAGAAGAACATGCGTGATTCCCTCGACATACCTTTGTTTGACTAATGCGTACTTCTAGGATGAGGCATCGTTTGTCCCTTACATCATTAACATCCACTGCTTATGATCTCCGATCATCTGTGTTTCTTAGATCTATTAGTTATAGTAAATATTTCTAATTTTTATGACTGAATACGTTTTTTTTTATTTTTTTACGGTAGATTTTGGTGAATACGTTAGACGATAAGGCTTTTATCAGTAAACTGTTTCAAAGAGAAATCAGTACCACAATTGATCTGTAAATAATTTATAATTTACAATAGTGTAAATAGACTTTGGAATTAAGAAATTCTTAGTAACTCACCTCGCAAATAGTGCAAGATTTGTTCGTGTAGTTTTTATTTATAGCGAGGCTAATGACAGCGCCATTTAATATGACTCATCTAGGGTCTAGAGATCACCGTAGATAGATTTATTAATTTATTAAATACTTTTTATTGAAAAATTAGAAAATGAAATATTTGTGGAATAGAAATAAATGGTTAGATAACTTTTGTTTTTATCCATTTTTCTCAAGTTCTTGCCGAACAAGTGTCCAGTTCTAGTCCGAAACTCGTTAGTAAATTGTTTCACCTATTTTTTACGGTGTAAATTTATCTTTGTACACATCCATTTCTATTGTTAACTATATTATGACATGAAAATGAGCTGAAGGATCTGTCGTACTACTCCGTGGCTGAGTACATATACAGAAGGTCTCTCATGTAAATATTATGGAGAGAAGAAATTAAAAGAATCTCATGCCTAACAGGACGACAGGACATTATAAAAGCGCACGTGCGTGCCTAAGATTTTCGAAAGTTGGCCAACTATCAGGAATAGAAATAACTTTTGTCACTTTTTCTGTTTCTAAATATTAAAACCGTCTTATCGAAGTACGACCATCGAAGTACAAAGTCTTTTTTACGTGTTGTCGTCAATAATGGTGACTTGGCTTCGAAAATTAAGACTTTACATGATACAAATTTCAGAAATAGAAATAATTATCAAAACACCTCATTTGAACCAAAATTTATCCGAAGATTTCAGTTATTTGATCCGGACGGCAGTCTAAACGGTAGTTCATAAAAGAGACTTTGAACTTCGAAGGTCGCATGTGCATGTCGACATAGTTTCCGAACATAG